ATTTCGCTACTCGATGACTATTACTAATAGTCCCCTAGTAGCGTAGCCAATCAAAATGCAGGATTTGCATTAGTCCACTAGTTGGGTGATACTAATTACTCTTAGAAGTCCTGTTAAACAAAACATTACAAATCTTTTTAAAGTGAATGAATTCAATAGAAAGTTCCATTATCCACATTTAAAATTTTCAGTAGAATACAGAAAAGACATTTTTTTATTAACTGGTTTACATATTTGCCATGTGGGAGTCCAAGGCAGAAAACTATGTTTCCCTTCACGAGGCCTAAAGAATTTATTGTGCACAATTCCTCAGAATGATTGTTCAAGACAAAAGCACCAGTGAAACTAAAGTTGCGCTTCAGAAAGCCAGTTCTTAGTGTTGGTAAAACCAACTTCTGTGCCGTATTACAAAGATCTTAAGATAAAACTTTTGACTGACCATATTTGATCACCTAGGCAATTGAATTAATAAATATATCTGAGCGATTTCCCAACAATATTCCCATTAGGTTTTTCCTGGCTTAGTCAGCCACTCTAAACCTAGTGTGTGAGGGGGGGGGGGNGGGGGCGTTCCATCAAGGCCAGAATGGAGACATGGCCCAGGCTCTGGCCCATCTGCAGGTGGTTTGCTGGCATCCAGCTGTCAAAAGCTGGGGGGAGGGGAGGGTGTCCTTTACTGACAACTTCACTTAGCTAGACTTGGAGTTTTCAGTACCAAATAACCTTGACATTGACTGTGTTGTCAGGCACTTTGCTCACTTGTTGAACCTTGTTTGAGGGTACTGTGTTGACATGGCACCCTGCTGAATGGGCCCAAGCCACGTGCATGCGTGACAGGCAAATCTCCTGGCCAGGGAGTGGTCAGAGCACTTATGGCCTCTGGGACTCTCTTTGAGCTGTCTGTGGGCATGCTTTTGTGAATACGGTCAGATACAAACAATGATAAATGTGAGGTTTTGGATTCTATCCAATGGCATTATAATACAAAGTCCATCATTGACTGTGCTGTGCGCAAGACACTAATGTGCTATGTCAGTTTTCAGTTCATTGTCCCCTGTATTGTAGTCCCACTCCTTCCACCCCACGGGCCACATCAGAGGCGGGTATGGGTTTGGCGTCAGTTCCTCTCTGATGTAGCTTGGCATTTTTCCAGCCAACAATAAGTTGAGTTGTATTTATTATTCCCATGTATTTCTTTGATTAACCTGCATGCATAAATAGCTATGTATAAGAGAGAAAACATTTGTTCTGGTATGAATGGTATGAAAGGCAATCTCATTTGTTCTAATATAACATTATTTGATAAGCACTATAAGGGAAACAACTAGGCAAGTAGACCAACTTCAGTATATCTGTAAGTAGTAAGCAAGACTTAATGTTATAATATTATCACCCTACCTGGATAACTTGATGGAGCTTCTCATCAGACACATGAACTTTGACAGAAGGAAGACTTCCAGAAACTTTGATCCTGTTAGAAGTTATTTAGTACACAGTAAATATCTTCCAGCGCAAGACTCCATGTTATAAAATAATTAACTCAACACAAGATTCCTGCTTACAGCTACATCGATAACTGCAGTACAGTTAAGATAGAAAGTGTTATTTTAAAACTGCAGGTAAACCAACTGCATTGAAAGAGCATTCAACTTATCAGTTTGTCTAAATAAAATATCCTACACAAGGAAAGATTATTAATCTACAGAATGCATGGTAATTACAGATCTGACTGTGTTTACAGGGCTCGTATCCTTTTTCAGAAACAAATTTCCAGGACTTTTCCAGGACTCAGATTGATTTTTCCAGGACTCTAAAATTCACATTAACCCTTTCACTCCCATTATCCTAATGTTGATTCTCCTTACTGTCTGCCATACATTTCATGTTTTTTTACTTGAGTTTAACAGATTTCCAGAACTTTCCAGGTCCAGTAGCCCTTTTCCAGGACTTTCCAGTCCTGGAAAATGGCACAATAAAATTCCAGGACTTTCCAGGTTTTCCAGGACCCGTATGAACCCTGTGTTTAAACTGAAAAAGTGGATTAAGAAGGACCCAGCCACCCTCTAACTGAAAAAACCCACAGCAAAAACAACTCAATCTTACTGTGCAAGTCTTATATCATCAGGATTTAATGCCTTCTGAAGCTTCACATCAAATCCCATGGGATCAAGAATATGCATCTTGGATTTGATATCCTTCCTTGCAGTTTGCCAGTCTTCACCTAAACAGATAAATTTCAATGTAACTCAATTACTCAAACAACACACTCTTTCTAAAACAGTCAAGCTATCATACTGGAATTCAGTGATAAATTCCTTCATTTACGCATTTTCTGCTCAAACAAGAGTAGATGAGATTCCTGTTATAGGATCTGAAAAAATGCAAACTTTGTAGAAGATCTAAGTAATTTAAAACAATCAAAACACATCTTCCTTTAAAAAGTAAAAAAAGCCACTGTTACCTGCTCTTGCAATGAGAATCTGAAGGTGTTCAAGTCTAAAATCAAACTTGTCATAACACTTTGATTCCAAATCCTCCATGCTAAGGTCCTAAGAAGGGTTGAGAACACAGGAGAGAACACAAGGCTTGGATTGCTGAAATTCAGTTACTTCGTATCTTGTACTATGAGTTCAGACCAACAGGAGTTCCATTCATTAATTCAATCTTGTAATGTTTTACTTCAATCATTATAAAGCAAAGAACATAAATTGTGTTTGAGCTACAAGGACTATTGCAGCATTTTTGGTGACTATGCACGAACTCACTGGCCTTTTGTTAGCTTTTCCTCAGCAATTTCATCATGCACATTTACAAGACTTGGTGATAAAAGACTGTGTGAAGTACAGCAAAAGACATGACATCAAACCCTTACTGCTCACGCGTTAAACCTGCCTCTCTAAAACTCTGGTTAAAGTACATGCTCACCAAAACGCCAACAACTTTTCATGCTACTTACTACTTACTTGATGTTTCAAAGATGTCATACTCAATTCATAGACAATTCATCGAGGTTCTGTTTCCTTCGCAAATTTGCTTTTTTCCACCACTTTCCCCTCCAAATTCGACAAAATTTGCTCTTGATACTTTTGCATAATACTGTAGTCTACAAAAATAACAAAAAATGAGGTACCTTGGTGGACACAATCCTTTCCTGCTCTGGGTCACTAGTAATCTTCAGGTGTCCAAGGTCAATCACCAAGACGCTGCTTGCTCTGTCAACATGGCAAAATAAAGTTTGTTCAATTACATGCAAGTATTTAAAAAGTAGTGAAAAACATTCCCTGGTCAAAAAGATTAAAACATGAGCTCTCGACTATCAGTCTATAGCCTTAAATGAATGAAAATGTTAGCGTGTGAATGGAAATATCTGGAATGAATGGAAAGCTTATGTTTGGACTGGAAAACTTATGTTTTCATTTTTTTAACCAGAGAACGTTTTTCACTACTTTTTAATATGTCCCATCCCAGTTACAGCTCTATTATTACATGTAAGTAGTTCAGTTTCATTAATGGTTTGCCACTAAAAGAAAACACCCACAAGTCCTCCAAAAAATGCTCTTTGAGTTCAGTAATGTAAAAAGACAATTTCTTATATTTTGTTAGAAAACAGCCCAAAAGAAAAAAAAGCACACTGATTTGTTATTGTGTTTCTGTAATTTGATAGAAACACAGAACTAGCACAAGCCAATCATGTTATGATGGCGCAAGCAAAGAGAATGTACATTTTGAGAATCAAAGTAAACAAACAAACAAAGAATTTTCTAAAAGAAATAGAAACGTGCTCTCTGTGTCTCTATCAAGTTTTAATATAAATCTACTAGCGTGCTATTACGATTGCCGTTCGCTGACTGACAATGCTACCCACTATCTATTCTGTTATGGATAGTGAGTGGCCTAGCAGTGTGCGCTTGTTAATGAAATGACTGCTGCTTCTTTGCGTTTTTTCAAGGTGTCTGTGAAGAGGATTTAAATAAAGTTTTGAGCGACTAGTAGATTTACAGTGTTGGAAATTAAATTTTGACAGCACTTGCCATTCGGGCAAGTGGCTCTCAAAATCCACTCGCCTAGTGTTATTTCCACTTGACCAGAAAGATGCCTCCCCTCCCTAAAACATCTCTGCAATGTGTTGGATTAGTTGTTCATTACATCAGACTTCCGGTTTTCTAGTTATAAGACCCCGTTGCATCTTGGGTCCTCGTGCTTTTCGTGATCCACCATCTTGTTCACTTCTTGAATTGTATGTCTTGTATGCAGAATAAATCCTTGCTTTGAAGCCTAAATATTATACAATGATCCACAAATCATGCATTTTTCTGTGTCTCCCAATCACGAAGGCCCAGCTTGCCATTTCGCATTGAGCTATCTTGTTCTGGTCCATTTACAAGAGGCCACCTTTGGATTGCGGACCAATTTTACTGTTTTATCCTTGTTTTTCATCAAGTTTTAACACTCTTTGAAAATTTTCCATAGTTTTAACTGAAAAACAGCTATATCCCTAGAATCAAGACATAGGCCGGAGTAAACAACTTTTCGGTACATGGAAGACTAACATGTTTCCTTTCCATGAAAGGTTATACTAAAAGACTTTAAACCCAAAGGTGGCACTTTAAACTTTAGAAGCAGTTACTATTTCAAGATGAATCTTTGTGAGATTCGTTTCTTAGCAAGCAAACATCCTTGTACCTCTCATGCATCTCTGTGCCATCTTCACTAATTACTGTCAGCTCAACTAGAGACCAGTAGTATCACTTCGTATGTGTAACTGTTATGTAAATTATTACTAGAAGAAGCAGTATTTTATTTTGTCTATTTTTGAAACAATGCATTGCATATTATTGGCAAATTATCTGGGCATCTTGGAAGAGACCAAAACGTAAAAAAACACTGATAAGTTTTTGTTCAGAGATAATCTTGCCAAAATGGAAAATAAAAAGGAGTGTGATCAGTATATAAGCTTGAAGAATTTCCTACAAATGAAAATCGTACTCGCCAAACAAGCAAGTGAACTATGATTTGTACTTGCCTGACACTTTTTGTGAACACAAGTTTGCATTGGCGAGCGGGCGAGCTCTAATTCCATTGGATTTATACTAAAGCAATTAGATTATTTGCTCTCAATTTCTATGCATGGTAGTTGACGAGGGTGCAGCCTTTGTCAACTATCACGAAATAGAAATCTCGAGCTCGTTATCTAATTGTTTACTAGAAACATTCGTGGAAGTTTGGGAGACCTTGAAAAAGCTGTGGAAACAATCACCTGTCAGCTCCTGTTCCCACAGCTTTTCTTGTTCTCCCAAAATTCCACTTGTGTTCTATAACTCCATAGAAACATGTTACATGTTTTCTATTTCTTACTTTAAAATTGTTTATAAATCCTCTAGAACTGCATACTTCACCGGTTTTTGGAGGCAAAAGAAGATATCAGTCTCTCTTCAGAACACTGTGAAGGTTCTCACAAATGTGACATGGAATGGGATTTCAAGTAGAGTATTTTTCAAACTAAATACAACCACAGCAAATGACTTGCCAACAACAACTTCAATTAACTTACTTCTTAGAGGTGCCTCCTTCAGGTACGATGATAACAGGAGACTTAACATCAACATTCACATCGGTAATCTACAAGAAAGGCAAAGTGTGAACATTAAGAACAACACATGTCACCAATATCCTCTTTGAGCAGTACACAAGATTCACACAAACATTCAGTAGTTATAATCAATGTTTGTTTATTGGAATTAATAGCTTGAAACTAGGCGGCAGGATCAGGTTGTAGCAGTTTAAAACCATTAACAATGGAAATTTATGGGCAAGCAAGAGGTACAGAGGCACAGTGGACTTAGGGTTAGTGCACTCGTCCCCGGATGGAGCGGTCCGGGTTCAAACCCTAGCTGGGGACACTGTGTTGTGTTCTTGGGCAAGACACTTAACTCTCACGGTGCCTCTCTCCACCCAGTATAAATGGGTACTTGGGAATTGTTGGGGAAACCTAACAAATTGCAGGGGAGTGACCTGCGATGGACTAGCATCCCATCCAGGGGGAGTAGAAATACTCCTAGCCGCTTCATGCTACAGAAACCAGGATAAGCTCCAGCAGCTATGAGCCTGTCGGCTCAAAGGCTTCACAAGAGAAACTGGCCACGTCCACCCAGGAGTGCAAATGAGTACTGATGCACTGTTAAGGGCAACCTGGGGATAACCTGGACTAGCTGTGTATCTAGAGTGAGTAGCAATATTCCTAGTTCCATAATGTTGCTTGGCTGTGTAACAATTCAGACATGTCCATGTCAAACATGGCCCGTTCAAACAGAAGGGTGTGTCTTGTCTCCTGACAGTAAACGCTTCAGAAAGATCTTACAGGTTATGTAGAGAAGTACTAAACATAATTTCAATCCTACCTTGTGATGTTCAATTGCATAAGATAAGCTTGCTTTGGACACTGACTTCAGATCTTCCAGTCGTGAGTATGCTGCTGCTGACAACCTAAGATACAAACATTAATTAAGAGAGAGCTTGCAAGCATCATACATATTCTAGAATTCTGCTTCTATACCACTAACCACAAGTTAGGAAATTACTTACAGTGGAGATTAAAAGGTTATTGAAGCAGTTAATACTCAATCAATATTTTCTATTAGAAATCTATGAATATGATTAGTAACCTCATCATTGTCTACACCCTGAAAGAACATGGTCACAAGCAATTGTCTTCAAAGGAAGCAACACTTTTTTTGGGGGAAAGGGGGGGGGGGGTTCTCAAAGCTACGTGTACCCAATAATTCCTTTTATTATTGTCTAATAAAAAAAACAATTAGGCTTCTTATCCTTGTTTTCTACTCATTTAGAGAAATTTTGAGAGCATTGTCTATTTGTAATTAATACAGTGTAAGGAATATTCATTAGAGTTAAAGTGACACTGAGTCCAGTTTTTCAAGCAAAAGTCAACAGATTGAGATAATGGGACCCATGCATTGCAAATTTGTCATTGCCCTAAACAGGACAAAAAATGAGGAATTTGAGAACAGTGCTTTTGACATTGTCTTCAAACTGGGTTGTGGCAAAAACACTGAAACCATTAGTTACAGGATTAAAAGAGATCAACTAGTTTAATCAAGTTGAGTACACGTGTGGTTTGGAAACTCATTTGAAATGTGCAAATAATGTAAAACATCACTTGGCCAAAATGACTGCACCGAAATAGATTCTCTCTTGGAAACTTATTGGCTTAGCACTTACTCTTGAAGATATACATCTTTTGGAGGCTGAAAGAATGTGACAACATGCTGTATTGTGTTCTGAAAGAAACACACAGAAAAGTAAACATTGAAGTCCTTAAAAAATTCAGAATTAGACTAAAATAACACAGTAGGATTAACACATACAAGCCTCTGCATGAAAACTACTTGCATCATTTTCTGATTGACTTTTTGTAACCCAAAAATGGACCAAAAATGGCTCTTGATTATCCTTCCTTATCCGTTCTTTTTTGCTCTCTTGAGAACATTATTAGTAACACTGAATATTACTATGAAGTCTACCATTGCAGTTATATGAATGTTCTATAATTAAGAAAAAAATGTAACCAGGTAGTTTTACTGAATGAATAGTCAAATGAATGTAAGCAATAAGTAAGTGTATATGTATTGATACTTACAGCATCATAGGTGAGTTCGACTGGTTGAGAGTATACTTCAGCTTTCTGGTCACACTTTCCATCTAAAGGATTGGTCTCAAAGGAAGCCGTAAAAAGAGCAACATGGCTTTCTGTGAAAGTCACAAAAAACAAGCTTTTTACATTGCCATCAATTTTTTGGTTTGTTTGCACTAAGTAAAAGTGCCTGAAAAAACTGAACTAGGTGGACAGTAAGTCTTTTTACATGACTTCAGCTTCTTCAAGTTTTGCTGCAAGACATTTATTAATAAGTGAAGCAAGCAAATATAATTCACATTAACATGCCTTGCTTGATCATAACACTGACCTAAGGCATGCTATGGCATACCTCAGCATTACCTAAGACTAAACAAACTGAATATTCCAAAACCTTCAATCACAAATGATTGGTGACTTTCATGCTATATTTGGGACTTAGTGCATTCAATATTAGAAGCCCTTTATTAGTACCTGATTTTTCATCCTGTGATGTTATCATGAGCGGCATCTTTCCATCATCAACAGCAGCAGTACCAAACATCTTCATCTGGTCCACTTTTGCTGTCACCCTTAACAGAACATATAACAGCAGATTGGTTAGCAACAACACAAAAATTGCCCTTGCCCCTTGCAGCCAGACTGTTCCCTGCTACAATTGTTCCTTCAAGCAGAGAATCTTACACATATTAACTGTACATAATTTATAATATTACACTATAAAAATAAAAATACAACCTTTATTTACTCTTGGCAGTGTTTATAGCACAAAGTCTAGTGGGGTTGAGCAAACAACTAAAACAAATGATTCAAATTGAACATAACATTGTTAAGAATCCCAACCGGCTGGAGGCAAGCCAGTTGGCTATTTACAAGCATGGCCAAAAATGTTAACTCAGGGCCACCCTGAAACAATTTAATAACTTTAAACCACCACAGCACACCTTCAATCACTTGCACTTTACAGTACCACTAACGGTGGAATTAACTTACTTGACTGCTTGCGCTGATGGTCTTTGAGAAAGCTCTGCAGAAAGGTCTTGGAAGCTCAGTCGTGCAATTTCAAGTGACCTAAAACAGATATCGCTAATTACATCCAGACTCTTTTTCATCGTTACTTCACTAGAGATTACAACTGTACTGTTTGTAACCATCAACACTGTCACGCCAATCAAGATAACCGATAATTATAATAATTTCCCTAACTGATCATTTGGTGCACTTTGATAACTGTTAATACTGATAGCTAGTATAATTACATGTATAACTTACTCTCATTGAATTAATTTCAAGTACTTACTTAGCATCTGTATCATCTCTCAAAGCCACACTGATTTGCTTCAAATGGACTTTGACTCTATTTTCAACATACTAGAAAACAATAATCATACTTAAGAATTTTCATGTCTTTTGGATAACAAGCAGTCGAAGAGTATGTAGGGGGGTAGCACTGAAATTAGAGGAGCTGGAGAGCATTAGTTAGCACTGGCAAAGCAAAGGCAAGACTTAGGAATTTAGTGGAGTGAAGGGAATTGGAAGACTTGGTATGCTTCTGTGGGAGTGTGAAAGGAATACAGACAATGAGATGTTACAGATAGCTGTATACAGACACTCATATTTTACACACCTTGTATACAAATAATACAGTAAATGGACAACAAGTGTCCTGGTTAAGGAACTCTACGAAGGTTACTGAAATGTAAAATCAAACAAAATTTGATGCTCATTTGAGACTAAGCTTGGTCGTATTAGAGTTTTCTTAATAATTGAAGGCTTTCGTGCAAAAAGGGTATATGTAGCATTTTGGGTCGATTTTTATTTTTTGTAGGATTGAGCTAATTTTTGGCAGACTGACTTGTTTTGACATGAAAAGCATCGTTGCATAATTGTTTTCGTTGATTTGCGCTTCATTTTCGAGAAAAAATGTATGCAAAAAACTCAGTTTTCCACGCGTATCTTTTGGAGATTGTTGAGCAAAAAACAAAAGAAACCTTTGTTTTGCTAAATGATGAAGTCACTGAAGCATGGTATTTGCCGCTAGTTTTATTATTCATATAATTATGCAATTCTCTTACTGTTGCTTCGTTAGCGCAAGCGAATAAGGCGCTGAACTGGCCAGATACGAGTTTGTTTTGTCATGACACCGGTTTGATACGAGGTCGGTCAATTTTTTTTTTCCGGTCTATTTCTCTACTTCTTTCAAAAATCAAAACATCTATTTAAAAAAAAAACCGTGCTGTCGAAGCTGCTAAAAGTAACCGTTTAAGTTTGTGCCGCGTCATAATCCACCTTGGAAGGATTCGCTCCAAAAGATGCCGCTCAGAAAACTGAGTTTTTTGGCATACGTTATTTCTGGAAAACGAAGTGCAAATCAACAAAAACAATTACGCAACGATGCTTTTCATGTCAAAACAAGTCAGTCTGCCAAAAATTAGCTCAATCTTACAAAAAATAAAAATCGGCCCAAAATGCTACATAAGCTCTTTTTGCACGAAAGCCTTCAATTATTTTGCCTTCAAATGAAACCAGGAAAATATGGAATCCACCTCTTTAGGAAATGCTGTGATGACTTCTCCCTCACTGTACCCTATAGCAGAGTATAGCTTCTCCAGTTCTTCTTTCTTCTGTTCTTCAGTTAGAATTTCTGCTAAGACAATAAGGAAACCATTTAGAGGTAAGTTGACAACTGCACTTAAGATCATTGACCACAATGTACATCTATGTCCCACATGTGTCCTCATCCACAGCTTATGGCTAACTGGCACAATGGTTGTGAGAGGTAAACCAGTTGTTTCATGTTTCGTAACAAAGGAGAAACTAATGGAAATCGCAGCTCACTGCAAAATACTTTTTTACCTCCTTCTTCATCGTTTTGAATGAACATATGTGCTTGATACCCAAAAAAGACTGTAAATTGAGAATTCTAACAATGTTTTGAAGAAAACACTGTTTTCAACAGGAAATTAATAGATACAGGCATGTTAAATTTCCAACTTCTCTTTTCATTTAAGGCCAAGTAGTAAACCTTGGCACTTACTCCTGATAGGTGGAAGTATATGGCAAAATATAGAAGCCTGACCTGGTTTTTCCTCCTCCTTCTTGCTCTTTTTGCTAGAACCCCAAAATCCTGAAAACCATCTGCCACTTTTCTTCTCTTCAGCCTTCTTTTTCTTTTGTCTCAAGGCTGCAGCTTCCTAGAGTGAGGGGAGTTTGAGAATTGACAAGTATTGCTTAGAGAGAAAGAACATACAATTCTATTTCTTTGGGTAGATGTAACTTAGAGGCATTGTAATAGCCATTACTAACAGTAGAGTATGCCTTTATAGCAAAGAAACCTTAGCATCAACAGACAATATGGTGCAAGACTTAGTCATGTTTTGGGGGCACATCCATTTATTGGTAATGCAGCTAACTATATTGTTGAGCCTCCTGTACTCCACACAGAATCACACCAATCCATTGTTATGGATGACCTTGTGGTCCCTGTCATCTATCATATAAGAAGCAGGCACATTTTCCTACAATAAAATATTGTTAACCTTGATTGCATTTTATGTATCACATGTATTTCACCAGCCATCACCCTTGAGTTTGGTTTCTCATGTGGGCCAGTTTGGATTATTGCAACTCATAACCAGGTTCATTGGTGGTCAAGTAAGTTAAGCCTAGAGAACGTACATTCACATTGACACCAACCTCATATGCAGCTTGACGACGGCAAATTGTGATGTTCAAAACATCCAGCTTGCTTTCAAGGCCCTAAAGAAATGGAAGAAGTCATTGAAACTGCCGACATGCTATATCTTTAAAAAACATTGAGTACAATAACAAATGAACAACATATAATCATGACTAACACCAAGTAAGCAGTATATACCTCCAGCTCTTTAAGTAATGAATCAGAAGGTTTGTCTTGCAGCAACTTCTTCTTATACAAGCCCTTGTACTTCTTACAGAGATCCCTGTAGAAGGTGGCAAGAAGCAAATTTAGTCATAACCCATCTAAACTGCCCACTCTCCAATCCTTCAAGGAAGACCTTAGAACAGAGAGTATTGAGGGTTACAGGGTGCAACTGTTGGTAAAGTCTGCATGTGAGCCAAGTGACCTATCAGGCTGGACCTTATCCTGGCTTCTGTAGCATGAGACAACCAGGAGTGTTTCAACTCCCACCTGGATGCATTTTATAAAGTAAAATAAAGTAAAGTGTCTTGGACAAGAACACAACACATTGTCCCCAGCCAGGGCTCAAACCCAGACTGCTCAATCCAGAGACAAGCACACTAACCATGAGGCCACTACGCCTCCCACTACCATACATGTACAGTACATTAAATAGTTTGGACAAATGCTATTGGATGCAAATTAGCATGTATCAACTTGCCTGTGTTCCTTCATATGGTTCCATGACCAGTTCCTCAGTCTCCTTCTTACATCTTCCTCAAGGATACTTGTGATTGCATAATTCCACCTGTAAAAAGATGTTTTAAAACAATTATGGAAATTTTTCTACTAGTTCAATCAGTAAATAAATCAAAGACAAGAAATGTACAATCAAATAGTTACCACTGTGTAGCATGGCCAAGAAGAGGGACATTTGGTTTATATTTTCTGAACGTGGAATTTGTGGACATTCTGTCAAAGGACTCCAGTAACTCCATCACATCATGATACTGCTGTCTCATCAGAACTAGTGATATCTCTTGCAAGACAAGGCTTAGGAAAATCTAAATAATTGAACAAATTAAAAAAAAAACGTTAAATACATATTGTGCCCTATTGCAATGTAAGCGTCAGTAAGAATATTGAGTCTACGTAAACTAATGGAAAATGTTCTTCTAGAGTATAGAAACGTTCACAAACATGTATTTGGACATTGTATTGCAATTTTCAAAAATGAACTGCAAAATGTGTAATTGTATGAACTTACCTTGGGCATACTTAGATCAGAACCAGGCTTAACATTCATCTTTACTTTTGTGATGGCTGAGATAGGCTTTAAAACTAAATCACAAACAAAAAAGTGGTTTGCTTTGAAATTAATATATAAATAAATGAAGGGAAAAAGGAAGGAGGGAGGGAGGTACAGTGTAGAGAGGGAGGGAAGGAGGGATGGATGGACAGGAGGATGAAATAATAAATATATAGAGCGGTTTCCGATTGGTGTGGTAAAACCAAAACAAAAGCAATTAATTACCAATCAACTACTCAGCCAATGTCAAACCATAGTAAAATAAAAACCAATGAAAGTAATTGCCTGATTACTTTTGACACTCAATTGAAAACCACTCTGAATGAGTAAACAAATAAATAGAAACAAGTATTTTTATGGACCTTTTCGGCGATACGACAGCCATTTTGAATTCTATTGTTTCAAACAGCTATTATGGGATGCTCAGGGGGCAAATTAATAGCTATTTGCCCCCTGATCATCCCATAATAGCTATTTAAAACAATAGAATTCAAAATGGCTGTCGTATCGCTGAAAAGGTCCACTAAGTACTCTAGAGACCCCATCCATAAACAAAACAAATGAGTGATCAGTTTACACATGACCTATCGAGTCCCACACTGAAATCAGTCCTGACAATTGAGTATTTTTGTAAATACCAAAATCCTTTGCAAATATAATTAATTTTACAAACTCACTGTATCTAAAATTAGGTGGAGAATAATGCTGTGCTGTCCTGATGGCTATTCCTCCCTTGGCTTGATTCTAGAAAGTTGCAAAATGAAGCAGAGCCCTTCAGCAATAAGTTAAAATTGCTTCATAAAACAACATAATTATTGATCACAGGTAAATGGCTCAAAAGTTAGGATGAAATGTAAAGTTTGTAGCACTGTCTATACAATGTACAGTGTACATACACAACAATATAGCTGGTGGCCAGTCAACACACAAAAGAAACCCATCTGCAAGTGGCCATACTAGGTAACAATGGCAAGAATGGAAAAGGGAAATGTGCATAGCACACAGATATCATCAAATTAAAAAATGCAGGTGCATTGTCTGATCTAGAGCACGCAATTGTGGGATTGGCGCAGTTCGATGGAAGACGTCCCCCCAAATATTCGTCACGTGGGTCATTTTGGCGCAGCAAACATCTGCAGCTACTGACTTGTAATTTTCCTTCGTTTACTACGTTTTTCGAAAACTTTGTGTGATTTAAAGTTTCATAGAATTGACAATATAAAACAGTGTACGTTTTATGAATGTTTACGACACGGACAAATAAAAATGGTTGCCAGAAGCTGAGATGAGATTCCTGGGAACAAGTATAATAATTCTTATTGGGGGTCAATTTATAAAAATGCACGTGCTCATTGCGAACCCCTTACTTTTCATGCTTGATTGATGAAACGCGACATGTTATTTTGGTTGTTTTCTCTGTCATTCTGCTATACTATTGTCATGTCAAAGTAGAAAAGAATATGATCATTCTTTGGTCGAGAAAACAAAAGAGAAGAACACAGACCTTAAATGGAAACCAGCAGAATTGACAACGTTGATGACAATAAATTGAGTGATTCTGATGAATGTGAACCTTTTGTTGAACCGAAAGCCAAAGCAGCTAGGAGAAACTTTCAATCTACCTGGTTGGAAAAATTCAAGTGGTTGCAATACAACAACACAAAGGGTATGTTGTGTTCAATTTGCATTGACTGACTTGACTTTTTTTTTATTTCTCACAAGAAAAAAACATTGTGTCCCCCAAAAAACTGGAATGTCCCCTAGAATATCCCCCTTAAGTGAAATCCTAGATCAGTCACTGAGGTGTCATATTATATTTAGCATTAAAGGCAAACCTTCTGCAAGTGACTACCCAAAATGTCAAGCCTAGGCGGTCACTTACGGGAGGTGGTCACTTATGAGAGCTTAGACCATATTGGGTCAGAATTTCGCCTCATTAGCATTATAAGGAATGTGTTGGCCACACCGGATACTGTACTTTGATTTTCGTAATGTAGCTGTTTTAAACTTTTGACTGTTCTTGAGAGAACAGTGAATCAGGAAATCCGTTCTAAGTTTCTTTTTGAAGACTGATAATGTACAGTGTATGTGCATTTTTTCTTTAAATTTTTAAATGTTTTATTCATGTGGAAAGTCTATTTCAAGAAAAAATCCGGTACTTCCCACTGAGAAATTTCTGTGTCTTGTTCTACCCAGGAAATCAATGCGATAATGTTACAACATTTTATTATCCAATTTCCATTCTATTATCTGTCCAGTGGTTGCTTATGGGAGGTTAAAAACAAAAGAAACTTTCAAACTTATAGCTCTAAAAGTGGTTGCGATCATTTACAAGAGGTTCCAAATATAGTGATTTGACTTGGAAACTTTTGGTAGTTTGGAAAACTGGCCACTGAGCAGAGGTGGTCGCAACCAGAAGTTTGACTGTATTTCGCTGTTTTTTCCCTGCAGCTTGCCATTTTTTAAGTTAGAGTTCCAACCAAACATTTCCTTGGCAACAGCAATCCTCTGGAGTAATTACAGACACTGTGTATGACAATGATGACTGCACAATAAGGAACAAGACAAGCGTAATTACCACCCAGTCCTCTTGTGATGGCAGTTTTCCAATGTCGTCTTTTGTATTCCAGTACAGGGCAAGGCTGTCAAGTTTGACAAGCTGACCAGCAAGAAAAGGAGAAAGTGTGATTGAATTTACAATTCTAAACAACTTCACTGAACAAAACAGGCCAACTACATTATTATTAAAATTCTAACTTAAATGCCAAGGCTTAAGGGATTAAAACAAAACAAATTACACTGAGGCTGATTGATGGTGATAAATGATAGCAGCTCCTCTCAACCACTTTACAGAGAAATGCAATTTTGACAAAATGCAAAAACATAGTTTTGCTGCATACACAGGAGAGTTTTCAATTAAGAGGACTAAAGTACTATTTAGTTCTGCCAAACTTGGCTAGTCCATCAGATGGTGTAAACATCAAAACAAAACAAAGAAACCTAAATGCATACTTTTTCTTTTGATAGAGTTAACATCAAAGATATCACATATTAATTGATCACAATGTATAATAGCCTCCAACAATTAAGGACCAAGCTATGAAATTCCTACATTGCACGTACACATAGAATGCATTAAAGCAAGAATTTAGTAATGAATAAAAGTCTCACCTTGTGTACAATCTGCACGCTTTTACCAACAATAGAAGGAATCCAGTTCTCATCCGTGGACTATGAAACGTAAAATGACCGTAAGCTTACACAATGAGTAAAATATGGATTAACTGACTGGAGGCAGCGTGGCCAAGTGGTCATCATGTCGGACTTGCAATCCAGCGGTCCCGGGTTTGAGTCCCACTCTGACCACTACCTGGATTTGTTTCTCGCTAGCCCCGAGTTCAAATCCTCAGCCACACATGTAAATAGCCAACTGGTTCGCCGCCAGCCAGTTGGGATTCTTAACAATGTTATGTTCAATTATCTGGAATTATTTGTTTCAGTTGTTTACTCAGCCCCACTACCACTTGTGCTATAAAAACATTGCCGAGGATAAATAAAGGTTATATTTCATTAAGAAATGTTTTTGGCCCAAAATTCACGGCAGTTTACCCCATACTTACTCTAAATGCAGTTAAATGCAATTTAACGGAGTTAACAACAAAGAGCGCCAGTGTTGTCTGGAGTCAGCGGCGTTTCATACATGGGCATGCGCCAGATCCC